CAGTAATAGTAGGTGAGAAGCTCCCTACAAGTGAATCCCACAGTAGATGCAACCTCTTTACGACAATCTCTTCACCCACTACGATGGACGATGGACAAAGATCAGTTTGTTTTCTACTTTCTGCTGCTTGTTGGATGTTGGATGTTAATGACTTTGGCTGGAGGCCCTCTTTGTTAGATGGCTTGTTTGAAGTGTTAGGCCTGATCAAGTGTGAATGGTTTAGATATGTAGTGGAGGGAGCTGGACCTCTTCTTGACATCAATGGAGAAGGAAAGGAGGGGGGGCAGGGGAAGGCATTTAGGATCTTGTTTGGAATAAGTGGGCAAAACATGGAGGGGAGGGGTGGGTTGATCCATCATAACTGAGCTATTTTACTCAAATCCATTGACAAACTCACCTTGCAAGAAGAAGCAGCAGCTAGGTCTAGAGGAATAGGGAGATGGGCACAGAGGACCTCCCTCTCTCAAGGGCAAGAGGGGGGATAGAGCAAAAGCGAGTTGAGCTTCCTTATTAGGAGTAGGCTGGGGAGATCTTATCCACCCATGTTTGATGACAATCTAGTTTGTATGGATGGAAAGGAACAGACAGCATATTATCAATTCATTGTAAATGGCACTTTTTTCATAAAAAGAAAATGGTATACACACAAACTTTAAGGGGGAAAAAAAGGAAAAACAAACACATAAACCTACATGTGTTTGACATGGGTAATGCCATAAATAACCACGAAGAATATCAAAATGGAAATACATGTAATAAAGATGCAACAAATATTTAACATTCAATAAAAAAACACAAAATATAATTACATTTACATTAAAAACAAAACTTTTGTGTGGGAAACTGCATCTAGAGTTCAAAAGAAAGAATGATGTGTCAATCATAGGTGACATGCTCATTATCAATACCCGCTTGTTGCGCACTTAGAATGTACAGTGGATTATGTTTTGAGACATGATATTTGCATGGAACATATTGAGATTGAATTCTGTTAAGATTGAGAGAGAAGAAAGAGATAGAGAGTAATATTCCAGCACAAGATAAAGTAAATACAAATACTTTTCACACTCTACAAATAGTAGGGCAATGTGCCCTACATATACACTGATTCCTATGGGGGGGTTACAGTATGGGTAGATCAACATGCAAAAAAATTACATAGCAGGAGTTATAATAACTATTACAGCAGGTTCTAATGGGCATGAAGCCCATTATTCATAAGAGTTGCATTTTTTAATGGGCATGAGCCCATAACACCATAATAACCACTCATGCGGCCGATTATGTATAGCAGTTACAGTTGTTACACAAGTTCTAATGGGCATGAGCCCATAACAGTTGCTACAAGCTGGAGCATATCTATTCCGTCAAACTCGAATAGCGGCCTTGATAAGTATGTCTGCCAATTGATTCTTGTAGCGAACAAATGGAGTTCATATTGTCTTTGGAGCAACATTTTCTCTGACAAAGTGGCAGTCGACCTCAATATGCTTGGTTCTTCCATGAAATACAGGATTCAAGGCAATCTAAATTGCCACTAGATCATCACAATGTAGAGGAATAGGAGTTGATACATTAACATCCATCTCTTGAAGAAGAGAACGGAAAAAATTTATTTCACATGTAGCACTCGTCATTGCTCGATATTTGGCTTCTTCTGAAGATTGAGCTACAACACTGGTAAATTGTCGATCAAGATGACATCCAACCCAATCCGCTTGGCAGAAACCTTATATACCAAGAAGACCATGACTGGTAAAATGTAGCCCTCTCGCTGGAGCAGATTTTAAATGTTGTAAAATGAGATAAACAACCTCCAAGTGATGAGATCATGGTGCGTGCATAAACTGACTTGCCACGCTTACAACATATGCAATATTTGGCCATGTGACAATTATAAATAAGTCCACCCACTAATGTCAGTTATACACCAAGGCTACAGAGAGGCTCTGACTGTTGATCATACAATTTGTGATAAACCTCAATAGGAGATTCTGCTAGTTTGGCTCCAAGCATTCCTATGTCATTGAGGAGATCAAAAGTATATTACCTTCGAGAAAAAAAATTCCTTATCTAGACTTAGCCACCTCTATTCCAAGGAACTCTTTCACTTTTTGAATTTCATGATCATTATTTCCCGTGAGCACAATATCATCCACATATACTATCAATACTATTACCAGGCTGCAAACAAAGAGAAGATTAGAGGAAAAAAAAGTCGCATGCATTATAGAGGGTGAGGACAAGGGTGATGAAAGTTTAAATGTACCACTCTCAAAGGTATCGGTCATGGATCCATTAACAAGTTTAACTTGACTAAGAGCGGGAGAAAAAGACAAGTAATCAACTTTCTCACCAGATCCAAGATATAGAAGAGGTGGAGTTGCAAGCATAATTTGCAGTTGCATATATACTTGGCTGCTCCACCAGTGTTTAAGAGCTGAGTGAAGCCTTAAGAGCAGTCAATTGGTGTTGCAAATCTTTTATGGCCTCATCTATTAGACTAGAAGAATTGGGAAGTGTGGCTAAGGTTTCCTCCCCCTCCTTCGACATAGTATGGGCAGTTGCATTCCTTGGTTTAAGTTTTAAGTGTGAATGCAAGTCGCAACAATGCTCTCGGGTGTGTCATCTCTTCCCACAACGGAAGTATTTCAGTTTCTCCTTATCGGCAGGAAATAGTGGAGCACAATTTGGTCCTTTTATACCCACTTTTTCCCCGAACTTGTTGTAAAAGCTAGCGTTCATTATGGATGCTTGAGTATTGTCCTCCTGCAATAGATTTTCTACTGGCATCCCCCTTATATAACTATAGATAGATTCAAGAGAGGTTAATTTGTCCTTTCTTAGAACCTGCACACTCTGAAGTTTGAAGTCAGGATAAGAACTCAAAGATCCTTACTTGCTCGACCTGTTTTTTTTTTAATGTCATCAACTGTGGGATCAATAGGCTGATAGTGGTCTAGTTCTTCCCACTTTTACGTTTGTATCCCAAAATATTCTTCCACCCTCCACAGTCATTTCCCCTTGCTGTAAATTCGCTATTTCGTAATACCATTAGTAAATCCTAGCCATATCATCTTGTTAGGAGTATGTTTTGGCTACTGCCTTCCACATATCCGTTGCAGTCTTAAGAAACAATAGTCCCCAGCTGATACTTGACTGCATAGACTAAGGAATCCATGCTATTATTGTCAAGTTCTCACTTTCCCATTCATCGTGGGATGGATCATTTGTGGGAGGCTCTTTCACTTTTCCTATAATGTAACCCATTCTTCTTCGACTTCCTATGAACATTTTGGCAGATTGGGACCATGCTAAGTAGTTTGTCCCATCTAGCTTAACTGTAGTTTATCCCATCTAAGTAGTTTGGCAGATTGGGACCATTCTAAGCAGTTTGTCCCATTCTAGGTGGTCAGATTGACTGCTACCCAAGAAAATATTGTGCTTGATATCTGACATTTTCCTTTTCTCGAACTCGAAACCCTATGCTTTGGGCAAGAAATCTATGGAATATAGTTGTGTGATTTTTATATGTGAATGTCATCATGTATCCAGAATTTCTCGAAGAATAAAGAATATATTTGGAAAGAACCATGCTCATGCCAAAAGATTTGCATTCCAATTTCAAAAAAATAGGATTATTGACAGACCTATATACATACATACATATATGCATACATACATCCTTTGTTTTTTTATTAGTTCAATAAAGATTTACAAAGTTTTGCATGTATACCTTTTAGGGCTTTAGAAGGTTTACAAAAAGAATATTTTAAGGAAAAAGGTTATATAAGGATGCTACCTTAT